CACCCTGAAGGAGTGATTCTGGGGAGCCAGAAAGTGACCTTAAAAGCCTTGACTGTTTTCCAAGAGGTCACTGATTAATTCCTGGTCAGGGCACATGCTGAGGGGTTTCAGGATTGATCCCCAGTGGGGGGACATGTAGGAGGCAGCCAATGGATGTTTCTCTCTCTTTTAGAGAGCCTTCCACTCTCTCTAAAAATCAATACAAACATATTTCTTTAAAAAAGCAGGTGGTAGCATTCATAGAATATAAAATCAATTTTAAAGAAGTTAAAAAGCATACCAAACAATTCTATATTGCTGGGAAACACATACATATGTAGTAAGAAGAAATGCATGGGAGTGAGAACCACGACTGAGGACAGTGGTTACTTAATGTTGGGGTGGGACAGGCAGGGGGTGAGCCTCAACCACAGCGGTAATGTTTTATGCTCTAAGCTGGGTGGTGGGTACACGGTTAACTATACGCTTCTTAATTTATACCTATAACATCACACAATAAATTTTATTCCACTGCTTAAACTTACAAACACGTGATAAAACACCATGCAAACAGGGCTATATCTGCCCCTTCTAGGTACCTTATTAAGTCCCCACACATGTACCACCAGCCCAGCGGAAAAGAGAGAGAAGGAGCACACAGACTGGTACAATAGTACCAGAAATGTTTGGTTTTTAATTGAACACTGTTTCATTGTTATGTCCCGAAAGTTGCGTTGATGTGGCATGATTTTTGTGTATCAAATATCACATACACACACATGACTGGATTGTGCTGTGATGCTGGGAAGAACCCCCTCCCCTCATCTCTACAGCCCAGAAGCTTTTCTCTTGTGAGAAAGGGTACCAACAGCACCCACCCCACACTCTACAATCATCAGACCTGGAAAACCTGCTATCCGTATTGCACCAAACTCTCTGCAGTTTGCACCCTGCATTTCCCTGTCACCCCTCCCCCAAATTAAGCGATTCTGACAATTAGCAGTGTTTGGGCCTAAAGGTTCTGGGGTTTAGGCAACTCAATGACTTACTTCTAAATATTTCTGGCCAAGTCCCTTGTCCTGTTTGGAATTCTGTTCTCAGTTTAGTTGAAAATCCTAAACTATGAGAACGAATGTACTACAAAGTTAGCCCATTTAGTTGATCACAAAGACAGTTAATTCGATCCTTCTTTTTTAAAATGACAATAATATGCTCGAAAGCTATCATATTATGCTGCAGGAACAGCCACAACTACACTGCACAAACACTTCCTGAGTGTGATTGTGCCAGGCACTGCCTAGGAATACAGCGGTGGACAAAACTGCCTGTATGGAGCTTAACGGGAGAGATACTGACAAGTGATCTCAAGAGCAATCAGCATTACAAATCAAGGTGTCACATAAAAAAGAGGAGGAATGAAACTAGTCAGTTATCAGGAATGTTTCTTTAAGGATGGCGGTGAGAGGAGGATGACTGAGCTGTCAACAAACTGCTCAGAAAAGGAGAATCAAAATAATGAATCACTACTCCACTGTGGAATTTCACAACTAATTCATGAGAAGAGTATTAACAGTGCCCAAATTAGTCACCTACTATTTTCAGAAGCAGAGGTAAAATTAAATCTGTATTTCTTAGCATGTCATGAACAAATCCTACTTTATGTTTAATTTTTAAAGTGCTATTAGGGCCTTGGCCGGTTTGGCTCAGCAGTAGAGCGTAGGCCCACAGACCAATGAGTCCCGGGTTCAATTCCAGCCAAGGGCACATACCTCGGTTGTGGTTCATCCCTGGCCCTGGTCGGGGTCATGCAGAAGGCAACCAGTCAATGCGTCCTCTCATGTCAATGTTTATCTCTCTCTCCTTTTCTCTCCCCCTCTTTCTACCTGAAGATAAATACAAAAATATCCTCGGGTGAGGATAAAAAAAAAATTTTTTTTTAATAATAATAAAGTGCTATTAGGGTGAGTAACCACTATCAGGCATCTACTCATATCTGGCAGCCCCCTAACAAAGAAATATGAACAGCAAATGGGAACATAATTATGGTCTCTTCTCCCAAAGATGTTTCCAGAATGATCCCCATGTTCACATACTGCATCCCACCACCTTCATAAAACTTCTTATTACCCTAGAAACTCCCAGAGGAATCACCTCGTAGGTCATACAGTGAGCCAGTGCCCTCCCTCCCACCTGCTGCTTCTTACAGAACTCTGTGACCCTGGTAGGCCACTTAACTTCTCTTAGCTTCAGCATCAGCTGTAAATGGCAACGAGACTGGGTGTGATTCCCTGCAGCCAACACACTGCATTGCACCCAGAAGGCATTCTGCAACTCAAAGATACAGAAAGAGCTGGCTGTTTTGGAGTGACGAAAGCCAGAGTCACTCTGTCCGATATCTCTCTCTGCTTTTTGTTGATCCTGCTTCCTAGGACTGGTCCTGGCTTCAGTGTCTGGCAAACTGGCCTTCACATGCCAAATCTAACAGCTCTTTCTCTGGGAAACTTCTGAAGACTTCCTCACCATAAAACCATTACTGTACTCTCTCCTTTATCCACTGGGCATTAGTGTCTACATCAGGTTTGGGCCCAAGACCCGATTCTGATGAAATCTGTTGCATGACTCTCCTGGCATAGGCACCAAAAGAAGCAAACAAACTACTGAGCACCTATCTCTGGGCTACGCACCTCCCTGCTGCTGTATTTATCATGATGGCACATGTGCTAGAAAGGCCCAGTGTCTTCCTAGACGGTGTGAAAACCACAACCTCTGTTTTCCCTCTTTGTTTTTTAACGTTTCTAATTTAGGAGCACAATGCGGTGTACCTTGAAGCAAAAGTGGCTTTACAACATTTGGACCCTAACCAGAAACCTTTCACAGGAAACAGGAAGTGGCTGCTTCCCCACCCCCACCCTGCACTCTGAGCATAACCCAACTAGTTATCCCGCACAATTTAGGCAAAAGGGCAGAATGTGCATCAAGGAATTTTTGAGTTGGAAGAAAACTTCCACACCACGGAACAGTCTGTGTCAAAATGGAGTAAATTTGTTATTACAAGGTAGCAAGGTCCTGGCCCGGACCAGCAGCCCAGTCCTTCCCACAGCACTCTTGGTGAGGCCACACAAAGGCAAGGTTTGGAATCCCAGGGATTGTCATCAGGAATGCACTGAATGCCTTGCAACCTTAAGGGCTCGGGGTTGGAATCCAAGCCTGAATTGTCCAAGTGAAACAGCTGACTAACAATGTCAGCTGGGACATATTTTGATACCTTCAACTTCAGCTCCATGTAGGAAGGGGCTACACAAAGAGCTCTGTGACTGAAGAGCCCTAGGAATGGTACGCAAAGGCCTTCGAGTGCCTGCCCACATTCTCCTCATAGCTAGATAAAGTGGCTCCCAAAAGAGGTTTCCAGATCCGCCCCAGTGGGCACCATCAGAAGTGACTCCCAGGAACCTTCCAGCTGTGAAGGGCTAACAAAGCTAGGCACTCTCCATCTGAATGTGAAAGACTGGCCTCAATCAGAGAAGCCCTTAAGCCATAAAACCCTTCACACCAAGGCCAAGTGTCACACTAGTAAGAGGGTGTGATTTATAAATTGACAGCACCCACAAAGCTGCTTTTGTACTCCTCCGTTAGTTAACAATTTATCTCCCCCCACCAAACTCATGGAGCTATTCAGATAAGGCTTGACTGGGCCTCAAAAAGAAAGAAAGGAAGAAAGAAAAGGACCCACGTTTTGGCCAAAACACCCATGTTCACTCAGGATAATTATGGTCCTGTGAATAGACACTAAAATTAGGGCTTAATAATTCCTCTGTATCACACTCACAGCATCAAACTATTCCAGTACAAACATAAAGAGCAAGAAAGAGAAAATCTCCAGTGCAGCCTTGTTGGAAACTTGAAGAGTTCCACTTCTGTGGTTTCTGCAGTCTCTTTTGTGGTTTCTGAGCTCTTAGAATCCCCCCTTTAGAGCAATTTTAACTCGATGCTCTGACCAGCTGTTTTTCTTTCTCAACATTTAAATCTACAAAGCAAAGAGTAAATAAGGGCTTGGTCGTATCTTTCCTCTCAGTTCAACAAAACCAATTCTGACCACTTCAACTCGTTTTCCTCACTGCAAAATTCCTTCTCAGATTCCACCAGCAACTAGAAATCATCATCTCTGATTCCCTTCCCACTACTCTTTCTAGAAAATGAATTTAAGTTACTACATCAATTCCAAGTAGACTCTAAGTTTACATTTTAAAATATACACCTGATAACATTTGTCAACCCTGAGACCTCAATTTTTGAAAGATTTGGTGAAAACAAAACTTAAAAAAAAAAACAAAAAAAACAATTCCAGTTTAAACTGTCTCCTCCCCACTTAGGGTCTTACTAAATTGTCTACTAATCTCATTTTTTAAAAAAAACAAAAGGAATGGGCTTTGCCCCTGGTAAGGTAGCTCAGTTGGTACAGTGTTGTCCCAATATGCCAAGGTTGCAGGTTCAATCCCCAGTCAGGGCAAATACAAGAATTAACCAATGAATGCATCAATAAGTGGAACCACAAATCAATGTCTCTCTCTCTCTCTAAAATTTATTTTAAAAGAAGAAAGTAATGGCCTTTGCTCAAAAACAGTCTTTCTGATACTATTCCACACACCTGGGGTCAGCTCAGTGGCCCACAGACCAAGTCAGTCCAGCAAACGTGTTCTCTTTAGCCTCTGTTGTTGACAAGAACAGCATTCAGGTGAGTGGGTTGCTAGTATTAAAAAGTTTAGGACAAGGCATACAAAAAAAATCTACATTTCTGATTGTCTTAAAAAAAAATTACACCTGGCATCCTAGATCCACACATTCCCTCACAGCTCAGCTGGCTGGCACTAAGCAGCAGCTGCCCCGCTTTAAGTACGACAAGCACTGGTCCAGTCTATCCAGACCCTGCCTTCAAGCCCACCAGGCTTCTCTCATATGCCACTGTAATTGCCTGTCCCAATATGCCCCAGGGTTCCTGACACCTCCCCACACAGCACACCTACCTTTTTGACCATAGTTGTCTCAGATGAATCCAGTCTTGTTCTCTTGGTATCAGGTCCATCTTCTACTCCTTGACTTACTTTGGCAACTTTGGTTTTCTCCCTAGAGGGTGACAAGGGAGGGAACTCCAGTTCTACCCTAGGAATCATGCCATTAGAACACACAGAGCATTACCAGCTCACAGAATAGGATGTTGGTTAAGAGCAAAGTTTTGGAGTCAAATAGATCTGAGTTCAAATCCCAGTTTGGCCACTGGCTACCTGACGAGCCAGTCACCTACAATGTGGTAGTAACAACTGCTAACAGAAGATTCTTGTAAGAAGAGAAATAACATACACTGCTTAGCGCACTGTCTAGTAAGCTTTCAGTAAACTTTGTGAACGTGCCACGTGAATCATGAATTAGTTGAACTGAATTCCTCTCCTCTGCCAGGGGGCGCTCACATTAAAATAATCTGGACAGCTTTCCTCTATGACTTCTTTATCCATTTATAACGTGCCCAAAAAACTAAATATTCTAAAGCCATAAAACATTGGAGTTACAAGAGATCCTGAACATGTTTGTCCATCCCCCATGTCAATTTTACAGGCAAGAAACTTGCCGACCAGAGAAATTTCAGTAACTTGCCTGAGAAGCTGAACTAAAGAAAGCAATTCTTGATTCTTGGTAGGAAGCTTCACCTGCCACAAAGCAGGGACTCTCTTTACCTCTCATGGTGGTGGTGGTGGGGAGGGGGAGGTCAGTGGTCAGAAAATTACAGCCAAAATTACAGCCAAAAAGCCAGTACTGGTATCATCTTTCATCTAGAAGCTACATCTAGAACACTACAGGTTCCATCATGTGAGAATCAACACAGTCTGCAACCGCTATGTTCAAAATGAGAGGATAAGGGCTGTTGGTTGCACCAGAGCAGTCTCTAGACCGTGGACCTTTTTATTTCCAAGGTAGACTTTGGCCAAGTGTGCCTCCAGAGTTGCCCATCTAACTATTTTGTACTCATATTACTATCTCTTAACCTGAAAACATGAAGCCTAAGCTGGGCAACAAATGGTTACAAACCAAGCAAGCCTTCCCTAACGGAAAGTGTGCTTCACCCCGATATATCCAAACTGATCAAATGCCCAGGTAATGTACTTCAATAGCCTAGAATACTGTTTTCTTTATGCTTTAAGTCAGACCATCATTGTGGAAGGCAGGGACCCCATCTCCTACAATTCTGAACATATAATCTATAAGCTGTTAATGAATTGGTTTCCCAATGTTCTAAGTATTACAGTAAAAGACCTTCCTTAAATGGTTCATTTCCTATCAGTGAATGAAATTACATTTTAAAAATGTTATATTTTCTCTTGCTCTCCCAACACTTACTCTACAAATTCATGCTCTCCAAGATTGGCAAATGTGTATCCGTGGTAGCCAAAAACATCTCCTGTAAAGAATTTGATGCTATTTTTGTGACAGATGTGGTCAACTTTAACTATGACATCCCTGGAACAGCAAGTCAGACATACCTGCAGAAGGAAAGAAATTGGCTGGGTGAGTTCTGCAAACTCTGAATCACTGCCCTGATGTCTAAATAAATCTTAATGAACAGCCTTACTGGGCATGTCTAAAGCCTGTTTCAAACTGGTACAACAGGTTTCTTGGATCCTATGGTTAGAAGACAAAAGAAAAGTTGCAGGTTTCAGTGTGTAGAAAATGTAAATTATGAGTTGGTCACTTTTTTAAACCCAAAAGAAATGTGTTTAGCTACAAAGTAAAAGCCACTCAATGAATTTGTTTCCCCTCATCCGTGAACATATCTAAACCCCATTTCATGATTTTCATGAAAAGAAAAAGACACTAATAACTTAGTGTAAGTTATTTCTAAATGGTTAAGTATATTAAAATCTGAATAAGCTACAGTGAGGAGGAAAACCAGTTTTTAAAATTGACCCCTAGGTCACATTTAAATACAAGGGTATTTTCCCTCCATCTTTTGATTGATGTGTTAAGATAAAAAAGATAAGCAAGTCCTGTTGAGATTATTTTTCCACAGTTTTCCATGTGAAACTTTATCTGAATTTAAGGACAAAAGAAAAGGTTACAGACCAAGTGACCTTCCATTCAGACTTAGACAATGAACCGGTGATTCACTCAGAGGGATTATCAATGCTGCTCTGAGGCCTCTAGGTTCTCTTCCAATAAGTTAAGATATTGGAAATGGCTAAATTTTACTGCATAAAACACCGTCTTTTCGGGAGAAGCTTTGTGAGCAGGGCCAAGAAGATAACTTCTAACGTGTACATATTTCATCTGCACATAACTAGTTGGAGAAGAAATCACAAAAGGACATTTTCATTTGATAGAACCTCTCTGCTCTTGTCTGGAAGGCTGAATACTGAAATAATACTCACGGAGAAATAAGTGCCTCTGGTGTCATTCAGAGGACACAGCTTCCCAAGGAAAAATCAAACAGAAAAGGTGAGACAACCAGTCGGACATGCGGTCAACTGACCAAATGAAAGCCTGCAGTCACAAGTGACTGAAACCCACTCAGGACCAGTCAAACATGGCCTCTGAGGCAGTCACGCGCAGCCCGTGTACATGTGTTTGTTACACAAGCAACTGGCCCACACTTCAGTTCTAACAAAGCTTCTCTCTAACTGCTAGAAGGTCAAGGGACACCTTTAAAAAATCAAATGTGGTTACTATGGATAAAGGAATGAGGAGAAGACTTTCATCTACATGGAAAATGTTCCAATATCTGGAGTTACAAAATAGAATAAATTAAAAAGAAAAAAGGACAAAATGCACAGACGATCCATCACTTCAAGCCCGTATTTGAACAGATGCGCATATGAAATACAACAGTGTGAAAAACAAACTACCCAACCCAAATTCCTCCCTCTAGTGTAATGGGCCTTTCATTTAAAAAACAAGTAGATCACCTGTGAGTATTTCCCAGTTATCCAAGCTTCTTCCAGGGTACAAGGAACCATGTCTGAAAGGTCACAGGCACTGAAACAGAATTTAACTTATCCTTTCACCTCTGCACAGATTTGGCAGTGAAACCAAATGAGGCTGGATATGCCTCATTTGGCTTATGACTATAGTGATTCTGTCTAGTTATCCATGGCAACATGGTCAAAGTGGCTGTGTGAAAGAGACAGCCCAAGATCAGGTGTGCTCTTTTTAAAGACAAAACACAAGCTGTAGTTTGATATTTCTAACAAAAAAAATGACTCTGCTACAGAAATTAATCACCAACTTGTTTTCAGGAGAAAACATTTGCAATAAAATGTATCAAAGCTATGTGCAAAGATTCTGGAAGGAAGACAAAACACCAAGGATGAAACCTGGTCTAGGAGAACATATGCCCAAAGAAGAAACCAACAGACAACAACTCACATCTATAGCAGACCCAACATACTGAATCTATCTACCAACACATTCAATTTACTAGGGCAGTATACTAAACCTAAAGAACAGCACAGTTTATAAACTTACTTGGGAAAAAACTCAGAATTTGAGATTCTAATGCTGTAGTGTACCTAGAACACACACAATTAGTGCTTTAATTTGCTTGATTTCCCCAGATGGTACACTCTCTATGAAACTTACAGCGTCGAATTGAGTGAAAAACGACTCAGGTTTCTTTTCTATATTCTCAGTGTCCACCTTCACATCCACCATGGGGTTGAGATTCTGGGCTCGCTCCAAAGAGGCTTCAGCCCTGTTTCGGCCAACAGACCCAGTACGGATCAGGAACTGAGCTCCAGGATCTTCTGGAGATACCTAGGAAGAATTTTTTTTTAATACCTGAATTTGAGGGAAAACATATCTCAAAGACAATGGGCCTTTCCATTTTAAAGTATAATTAAAATATCTAACATCTAATTGCATTACTGTTCCTGCAGGAATCTGCCTAACGCAGACTCCTACACTCTTTCCTTCTGAGGCTTTAAAATAGATGTTTAACTTTTACTAGGCATTGATGGTTAAAGAGCACCCCCTTGTGTTTATAAAGAAAATTCACTCTAGACGGAAAAGTCTGTGCTTGCTTCTAAAGTTTGTAACTGCTAACAAAATGATTTAATTATTGGTGGTAAGAATTTACCAAATACCTACCATGTATCCAACTCTGAGCATTCAGAAACATAAGTAGTTTAAAGGATAAAGTCCCTGCCTACAGTGGTTTAAAATCAGACCAGTGCAAAAATCAGACACAATTAAGGATGCTTGAAATGAACTCTTAAATTCAATTAAAACTCAGAGGAAAGATGAGTGGGGGCTGAAGTAGAGAGATGATTTCACTCATAAGGCTGGATATACTGCAGAGAGCCTCAAAGACAGATAACATAATCACTTGACAGTCCCCAGTAGGATTCCAGACTCCATATTGTTCACAAAGCATTTCAAATTTAACTGTTAATCCCCAGGTGTAAACTCGCCGCCTGCAATTCACCAGCACTGGGTTACCAGTAGTAATCTCCCCTCTTCTCTTCTTGCCAAGTGCCCACAGCACTAACGTACTTCCTTTCCTCCAAAAAGTGAGCTGGTCCTTTCCCCATTCAAGGCCAACCCTCTAACAGGATCCTTGACCCATCTCATCCTGCTTCTTCAGGGATCTCATTATATTCTGAGAAGTTATATACCATAGTGGTTAAGGATAAGGTTCTGAAGTAATTCAGGCAGAATTCAAATCTTTGATTCAAATTCAACTCAACCTCTTACTGTGTGACCTTGAGCAAGTATGAGGGAATCACATGTAAAATGCAGATGTTAATAAAAACAAAACATTTACTAATTACTCCATCAATGCTAATTATTACTATCCATGCTCTCTCTGCTCCCTTGGCCTCTCAGACTCTGGTTTTCCTCCTCTCTCACTAGACACAGTCCAGCCTCTATATGAGTCCTCGTGCATGTGACTGTCCCCAAAATTCCATCTCAGAATCACTCATCTCTTCACTCTGTATGCCACCATAAACCAACTCAATGCCTTTTAGTTTCTACCAGAATTTTCTGGTATTTCTCAAATTGCTGGTATTGGTACAGATTTGTTCCTGATCTGAGCCTTGTATTAAACTAACTGCTCAGCAGAGACTTTTTCCTGGAGATACCATAGGCCCTTCATATATGACTCCTGTATTTATTGTCTCTGCTGATGAGCCCACCAACTGTCCATCCAGTCACCCGAAACAGAAACCTGGTGGTCACATCCTTGATATTTCCTCGATAGCCAGTCACCTGCTAAGGTGGCTAGGAGCATGGGCTCTGCCAGGAGTCAGACTATGTCACTGTTTCCCACTAACTACTGTGACCTTCAGTGGACCAGTATTTCAATTCCCTTTCCTCAGTTTTCTTACCTATAAAATAGGGGTGATAATCCCTGTATCTCAGAGTTGTTGTGAGGATTAAATGAGATACTACAGCCACAGTGTAGAAGTGTCCAGCACCTTCAGTAAATGTCCGCTGCTATAAGATATTCCTTCTTTTCCTTCTGAACCCATATACACTCCTGTCAATTCTACCACCTGTTTTTCTCAACTGTATGCTTCCTGCCCTGTCACCAGTACCATCACTCATATGCTTTTCATCTCTCACCAAAACTCTAAAACAGCCTTTTAAGTGGTCTTCTACCTTGTATTTTGTGTCAACCATAGTTGATACAATAATTAGTGACCTACCCAAAGTCCAAAGCTGACAAAGTCACTCCTCCCCACATTGGAAAGTCTTTGATGAATCCTTACCACCCAAGGGTTTAAATAAAAGCTTACAGCAGGGCTTGACAGCAGGCTCTTCATGAATTGGACTTCACATGCAACCTGCTCCCACTTCCTACCACTTTGGGCTTCACACTCTAAACATTCCAAACTGCTAGCTATATTCTTGTGCCACTGCTAATGTCCCCTGCCTGAAATACAGTCCCTCAACTTGATAAATCTCTCCTTTTTCTTTAATACTCAGCTCAGATCAGAATGCCAGGAAGACTTTTATGTCCCCCTTCCACAACCTGAGTCAGGGAGCCCACCGTGGTTTCTAAAAAAATCTTGAGAATGGGAACCAAATGTTGCACATCTTTGTATGGCCAATACCTAGAATACTTCAGGATAGCAGAAGGTGCTCTTGGATGCTTACTGATGTAAACAATGAAAAACTCTAAGGGGCTGAAAATAACATTCTCATTTTATAGATGAGCAAAATGAGTCTCTGAAAGGTTAAGTCCTTTGCCCAGCTTGAGGAGGAACAATGTGAGCCCAAATCTGCATGATTTCAAAGCTTTTGAACTATGCAGCACTATCTTCCTGGGATGTTCCTAGCCAGTGCAGGGAAAGCACAAGCAAACTGCAAAGGGCAGAAAAACCACAGAATGTTCATGAACTATCAAATTTATGAGATGGGGGTCAGGCAGGGTAAGTTGACTGGAACCAGGTTACACGAAGCCAGAGGGTCTCAACCTTCCCTGTCAGGCTCACCTGGAGAACTTTTTAAAAAAATCCGCCCCCAGCCCTGCCTGGTTTGGCTCAGCGGTTAGAGCATCAGCCTGTGGTCGAGAGAGACCCAGGTTCGGTTCCCACTAAGGGCACATACCTCGGTTGCAGTTTGTCCCCGGCCCTGGTTGGGTCAGGCGGGAGGCAGCCACTCGATGTTTCCCTTTCAAGTCAATGTTTCTCTCTCTCTTTCTCTCTCTCCCTCCCACTCTATCTGAACAAAAAAATGAAAAAAAAAAATAATGTCCTAGGATGAGGATAAAAAAATAAAAAGCAGCCCTGGCCATTTTTGCTCAGTAGTTAGAGCGTCGGCCAGCGGTCCAGAGAGAGCTGGGTTCGGTTCCCACTAAGGGCACGTACCTCGGTTGCAGTGTGTCCCCGGCCCTGGTTGGTTGTGCGGGTGGCAGCCACTCGATGTGTCCCTTTCACGTGGGTGTTTCTCTCTCTCTCCCTCCCACTGTATTTGAACAAAAAATGGAAAAATGTCCTCGGGTGAGGATAAAAAAAATAATAAAATAAAAAATAAAAATCCACCCCCGAGGATATATTTTTTTCCACTGAAATTTTTTTTTTTTTTTTGAGAGAGAGTGGAAGGGAAGGATGGTGTGTGGGAGGAGAGACAGAGAGACAGAGAGAGACATAGATGTGAGAGAGACACATCAATTGGTTGCCTCCCACACATGCCCCGAACAGGGCCAGGGATCAAACCTGCAATCCAAGTATGTGCCCTTGACTCAGAATCAAACCCACAACCCTTTGGTGCGAGGGCCGACGCTCTATCCACTGAGCAACATTGGCCAAGGCTGGACTACTTTTATTTTTATTTTTTCCTCACCCAAGGACATTTTTTCATTTTTTGTTCAGATAGAGAGAGGAAGAGAGAGAGTGAGAGAAACATCGATGTGAAAGGGACACATCGAGTGGCTGCCACCTGCATAACTCAACCAGGGCCAGGGACAAACTGCAACAGAGATACGTGCCCTTAGGGGGAACTGAACCCAGGTCTCTTTGGACCGTAGACCTACGCCCTAACCGCTGAGCAAAACCAGCCAGGGCCAACTTTTATTTTTAAATAAGTCTCCAAATATTCTAAAGCACAGACTGAGAATCGCAGTATGAAGCCTTGAAAACCAGCCAGGTGACTTAGGCCTTGTAGTGGAAGGCAGCAGAAAGCACTATAAGTCCTCCAAGTGAAGAGGTAAAGGATGACAATCAGCCTGTTCACTCCAACACTGGGTGGCACTCATCATTGGACTGAGGTGACAGAACCACATCACATGCCCTTCGGTGTTACATTGTTATTCCTCATTCTCAGATTCCTCCAACCAGATGAGGAAGTCACCATCCCCGTGTGGTTTCATGTTTTCCACACCAAGGGTCTCCAAGTTTGGGACCATCCTTCCTTGAGTCTCTACTCTTACTCTCTCTACATTACAAATTCTTCCTCGAGATGGGGTGTTCCTACCTCTAGGGGGCACTGTGGTTGAGGAGATGTCAAAGTTTCAGGTACTCAGACTGTTAAATAACCTGGCAGCTAGTTGCAGGAATTTTTCTTAGAAGCTTTAAAATGTAAGTAAAAAATCAATATATAATTGTGGTATTAAGTGAGCCAACCCGCATTTCTTTTCATCAATTTTATAGAATAATAATTGCAGCCCTGGCCAGTTTAGCTCAGTGGTTGGAGCGTCGGCCTGCAGACCAAAGGAGTCTTGGGTTTGATTCTGCTCAAGGGCATGTACCTCAGTTGTGGTTCGGTCCTTGGCCCTGGTTGGGGTCGAACAAGAGGCAACCAATAGATGTGTCTCTCTCACATCGATGTTTCTCTCTCTGTTCCCGCCTTTCCACTTTATCTAAAAATCAATGAGAGCCCTGGCCAGTTTGGTTCAGCAGTTGGAGTGTCCACCTGCGGACCAGAGAGTCCCGGGTTCAGTTTCCACTAGGGGCATGTACCAAAAAAAACCCCAATAATAAATAAATAAATAAATATCAATGAAAAAAACAAAACAGAAAAAACAACATGATTCTTGGAATTTGCTTTAAAATAGTGTCCAAACTGCCAGGCCAGTGTGGCTCAGTGGTTGAGCGTCGACCCGCACACCAAGAGGTCGTCGGTTCAATTCCTGGTCAGGGCACATGCCCAGGTTGTGGGCCAGGTCCCCAGTGTGGGGCATGCAGGAGGTGGCCAATCAATGTTCTCTCTCATGAATGTTACTATCTCTCTCTCCCTCTCCCTTCTTCTCTCTCTAAAAATCAATAAAGAAAAAAAAAATGAATAAATAAAACAAAATACTGTCCAAAAAGGAGAGCGTAAAAAAAAAAATTTATTTTCTAAATCCACAAAATACTGCTATCTATAGAAGCCAGGTAGATGGGGTGTAAAATATTATTCTCTCCACATTTATACATATTTAAAAATTTCTATTAAAAAATACTAAAATGGCCTCACCAGTGTGGCTCAGTAGATTGAACATCGTCCCATGGACTGGGAGGTCCCAGTTCAACTCCCAGTCAGGGCACATGCCTGGGTTTCGGGCTTGATCCCCAGTGTGGGGTGTGCAGGAGGTAGCCAATCGATGTTTCTCTCTCACATGGATGTTTCTATCTCTCCCTCCCTCCCTCCCTCTCTAAAAAAAATTCAATAAAAACATATTTAAAAAAACAACAACTAAAATGTCATTGAGGCATAAGAATGTAGAGAAAAAAGCAGTTATTTTCACCTTGGTTTTGAAAAGATAGGTCAGAGGAAAGCTACACTGGAGTTAATGCGCTATTATTATATTATTAATCATTATATCATATAATAACTAATTATTCGACATTTTGCTTGTTGTGTGCAGACACTATGCTAAGCAGTCCAAGTACATCCTCTCTGGTTCAGTGTTTTCCAAAGTAATGTCTGTGAAACATTTCCATCCAGATCTCCTAGGATAACTTTTATTTATTTTTTTAATTTTAAAAACTGACTTGATACCTTTTTTTATTAATCCTCACCCAAGGATCTTTTTTCTATTTATCTTCAAATAGAGTAGGAGGGAAGGAGAAGGTGAGAGAGAAACATCGACATGAGAGGGACACATCGACTGGTTGCCTACTGCATGACATCCACCAGGGCTGGAGACAAACCGCCACTGAGGTACATGCCCTTGACCAGAATCGAACCCACAACTCATTGGTCCACAGGCCAACAAAGCTAACTGCTAAGCCAAACTGGCCAGGGAGAGTTGATACCTTTTTTAAAAAGTATTTTTATTGATTTTTAGTGAGGAAAAAGAAGAGGAAGAAAGATAGAGAAACACTGATCTGAGAAACAACAATCAGCTGCCTTCTGCACACCTCCTAACAGGGATGGAGCCTGCAATCTGGGCATGTGTCCTGATGGGAAATCAAACCAGCAACCCTTTAATGCATGGGACGACGTCCAACCACCTGAGCTACACTGGCCAGGGCAAGTTGAGACACCTTTTAAATGTGTCTATTCCTGAGCCTCACCTCAGACTTTTTTCTAAAGTAGAATCATTGGAAGGTAAAGGCTATACCAAGGCAATTCTGCATTTTTAGTTATTTAGGTGATTTAGAGGAACAAACTGGAAAGCTACTCCTCTACTCCTCAGGATCACCCTCCAAGGGAGACGGTAACTCCACTTACAGATAAGCAAGCTCGACAAGGAGACAGAAGCCCTGGACGGTTTGGCTCAGCAGTTAGAGCGTCAGCCTGCAGATTATTGAGTTGTGGGTTCGATTCGAGTCAAGGGCACGTACCTCGGGTGCAGTTCGTCCCCAGCCCTGGTATGGTCGTGCCCTGGTATGGTTGTGCGGGAGGCAACCAGTCAATCACTGTTTCTCTGTCTCTCTGTCTCCCTCCCTCCTACTCTGTCTGATGATATATGGAAAAATATCCTCAGGGAGGAATAAAAAACAAACAAACAGCCCTGGCCAGTTTGGCTCAGCGGTTAGAGCGTCGGCCTGCGGTCCGGAGAGACCCGGGTTCGGTTCCCACTAAGGGCACGTACTTCGGTTGCAGTTTGTCCCCGGCCCTGGTTGGTCGTGCGGGTGGCAGCCACTCGATGTGTCCCTTCACATCGATGTTTCTCTCTCTCTCTCCTTCCTCTCTCTCCCTCCCACTCTATCTGTACAAAAAATGGAAAATATCCTCGGGTGAGGATAAAAACAAACAAACAAACAAAAAACAAGGAGATAGGAGTCTCCATGATTGTCCACCTAGGATGTGGTGGTGCTGAACTCAAACAGTGCTAGCTCTATCAGTTCCATTAACGCCAGCCTTCCTTTCACAACCCTGAAGGGGCAAGGAGGAACTCCCAAATCTCCAAGAGTTTATATCTAAGAGGGAGACTACTCTGGACAGTGATGAGGTGGCTGCACATCTCACCTGTTCGTGATCCAGCATGGTCAGGCCTTTCACTCCTGCCAGGATGAGATTCTTGGCAATTTCAGCCCCAAGCCCTTTCATGCCGACAAGAAGCACCCGGGACGCCCGCAACCTGTAAGGCAGATATTGTTAACTGGATGACAGAGAACAACGGAAATACACGGAATCATTGAAGAACAAAACAACAGGGCAATAATCTTAATGTTTATTAACTGTACTACAGTAGCACAGCCTCAAAACTAGGAAAGAGATGCTCCAATCCACCTTGCAGAGCACAATTCATTCAAAAAATATTTGTTCAGCACCTATGCCAGGCACCTCTCTGAAGTGTGGAAATAAATCAAACATAAGTCCTACCCTTCAAGCCTTCCAGAACTTATATTTCATGAAGAAAGCAGGTAAGTGAAAGAGTATACAAGGTGGAGCAAAAGCAGGTTTACAGTTATTTGTATAGAAAATACGATAATTAATAATAATATAAGAATAAACTGTTTCATGTACTCACAACTATAAACCAACTTTTGCCCCACCCTGTATAGTATGTCAAAAAGTGAAAATCAAGCATGACATGGATCAAGACTGATGGAGGATACTATTTTAGTCAAACTTATCAAAAAGGCCTTTCTGCCTTGGCCAGTTTGGCTCAGCAGTTGAGCGCCGGCCTGCAGACCAGAGAGTCCCGGGTTCAGTTCCCACTAGGGGCATGTACCACCAAAAAAAAGGCCTTTCTGAAGAGATGCTGAGCACAAATCAAAACAAAATAAAGGATGAATATATAGATACATGGAAGAAGAGCATTCCAGGCAGATAAAATAGCAAGTGCAAAAGCCCTGAGACACAAGTGCTTGGAATGTTTCAGGGAAAGGAAGAACAGCGAGCAAAGGGAAGACTGGTAGGAAATGAGGATGTAGACAGAACCAGGGGCTACATCATGAAGGCTCTCACAGGCATAAAGATTCTGGATTTTATTCTAAGCCTGATGAAAAGCCGTGGGGGGAGAGGAGTATGGAGGAGAAGAGTGTTACAGTTAAGGCGAGGGGATGGACTAGTATGAGAGCAGAAGAGCCGGGAAGGGGTACTATTTAGGCTATAACACACAAGCAAAAACGTGGCAGCATGAAAGAGGATATAACGAGGAAATATTTGGATCATTCTAACTATAACATGACAGAAGATGAGGCTAACAGAAGATACTCAGAGGTTGGGCAATCCCAAGAAGTCTTTTTTTTTTTTTTTATCCTCACCCGAGGACATTTTTCGATATTTTGTTCAGATACAGTGAGTGTGAGAGAGAGAGAGAGAGAAACATCGACATGAAAGCGACACATCGAGTGGTTGCCACCCACACGACCCAACCAGGGCTGGGGACAAACTGCAACCAAGGTATGTGCCCTTAGCAGGAACCGAACCCGGGTCTCTCCGGACCGCAGGCCGATGCTCTAACCGCTGAGCCAAACCGGCCAGGGCCCCAAGAAGTCTTGACTTAACTTTGAGGTCAGTGGAGGCAGTATATAGGTCCACAGTGTGTTATTTGAAATCCTTTGGAGGGGAGTAAGACATACAAAATTCCCATATATAGTGACAAAATAAGGGCACAAGTTCTTTTCCGAGAGAGAGAGAGAGAGAGAGAGAGAGAGAGAGAGAGAAAGAGAGAAAGAAACCCCTTGAAGCAGAAGTGTTTCAAAATCAGACTTTCTCAGATTTGAAAAAGAAATAAAGAGTATGGTGTCGCCCTGGCCAGTTTGGCTCAGCGGTTAGAGCGTCAGCCTGCGGTCTGGAGAGACCCGGGTTCGGTTCCCACTAAGGGCACGTACTTTGGTTGCAATTTGTCCCCGGCCCTGGTTGGTCGTGCGGATGGCAGCCACTCGATATGTCCCTTCACGTCGATGTTTCTCTCTCTCTCTCCCTTCCTCTCTCTCCCTCCTACTCTATCTGTACAAAAAATGGAAAAATATCCTCAGGTGAGTATTAAAAAAAAAAAAGAGTATGGTGTCATCCGGCTGGTGTGGCTCAGTGGCTGAATGTCAATCCATACACCAAGAGGACGCCAGTTCAATTCCCAATCAGGGCACATGCCAGGGTTGTGGACTCAATCTCCAGCAGGGGGCATGAAGGAGGCAGCCAATTGATGTTGATGCTTCTCTCTCATCAATGTTTCTACCTCTCCCTCTTCCTTTCTCTCTCTGAAATCAATAAAAACATTTTTTTTAAAAACTGTTAAAAAAAAAAAGAGTATGGTGTCATATAGGTACTAGACTCATGAGATGATCACTTTGTAAGGTATACAAATGTGTACTCACTGTTATACTCCTGAGACTAACATAATCTTACAATCTTGTATGTCAACTGTAACTGAAAAATAAGTTTAAAATACAAAATAAAAAAATAAAGTTGCGCCCTGGCCGGTTTGGAGCAGGAACTTGGCCCACGGGCCAGAGAGACCTGGGTTCGGTTCCCGCTAAGGGCACGTAACTCGGTTGCGGTTTGTACCCACCCTGGTTGGGGTCGTGTGGGTGGCAACCAGTCAATGTGTCTCTCCCCCTCCCTCTCTCTCCCAATCTATCCGAAGATAAATGCAAAAATGTCCTTGGGTGAGGATTAAAGAAAAAGAGAATGGTGGCTGAGTCCTGGCTGCTGTGGCTCAGTTAGCTGGAGTGTCATCCTGCACATCAAGAGGTGGTGGGTTTCTTTCCCAGTCAAAGCACATACCCTGGTTGTGAGTGATCCCTGGTCAGGACACATTTGAGAGGCACCTGATCAATGTTTCTCACATCAATGTCTTTCTTTTCTTGTCTTCTTTTTTTTTCTTTTCTTTCTCTTTCTCCCTCCCTCCCTCTTTCTAAGCTTAAAAAATATTAAGAAAGAAAGAACGGTGACTGAGTCCTTTGTTGATTCTTTTTAAAATTTTTTCTTTATTGATTTTAGAGAGAGGAAGGGAGAGGGAGAGAGAGATAGAAACATCAATGAGAGAGAACATCAATTGGCTGCCTCTTACACACCCTCCACTGGGGATTGGGCCCACAACCTGGGCATGTGCCCTGACCAGTATTCAAACTGGCGATCTCTTGGTGCATGGATCAATGCTCAACCACTGAGCCACACTGGCTGGGCCCTGTGCTGATTCTTCTTTTTTTGTGTGTGTGGTACATGCCCCTAGCGGGAACCGAACCCTGGACTCTCTGGCCTGCAGGCTGATGCTCAGCCGCTGAGCCAAACTGGCCAGGGCTGATTCTTAAGTTAGCAGATTTTAGATTTCCTTTGCTGATACAATCAAAGGATAAAATGGGGAAAGAGGAAGAATATTAACAATATCTCCCTCAAAGGCATATGTCTAGATCTCAGCTTCTCCATTACTACTTTTATCCTATGGGCCCTTCCACTGCCAACAACAGGCTAGCAGACAGGAGTATTTCAAGTGACAAGTCCACTTCACTAAAATAGGAGAAAGTTGAGAAGAGGCTTACAAGGTAAATAACAGATGCTAGCAATGAGCAGGTCCCTTATCAGAGAGGTACAGCATCACACTAAAGGGTGGGAGAAGGAAGGAAAACTATGCAGCTTTCCAGAAGAGCTCTAATCCCTCAAGAATCAGCAATTATAATAAGCAATGTTTCCTACAAGAATATAGTGCACATACCAAACCTCTCACATCAGAAAGATTGAGCACCCTTGCATTTAGCTGTACCTTCCAAGTCTCTGTTATCACTGTGAATCTACGAGCCCTCTCTGGACCTGGCTCTGACACTGCCGCACCTGGAACTCCAGGTTCTAAGTTCTCTTTGTCTGAGTGACTGGGTTTTCTGTTGTCTGGCTGCTCCAGTACCTCAAAGATACAGCTAGAATGGCCCACCTCTCTTCTAGGAATCTGTATCTTCAATTACCAATAGCCTTCTAATCTCCAAGCCCACAAATTTCTCAGGCTCTGTTCTACTTGATGTTCATTCCTTCAGCAACATGCCCATCATGCATGCCCACCACGTGTGAAGACTTGGGTCTGAATTCTTGCTCTGCCACTTCCTACCTGGGTGATCTAGACAATCTCTCTAAACTTCAGTTTATCCACCTGTGAAATGGGAATACCAATTCTGACTTAATGGTTTTTAATCTCCTCAACAACCCGGTAAAAGCCATCTAGCATAATCCCTGGCATATAACAGATGCTCAGTATATGACACTTGAATTTACTGAACTTCTCCCCAATCCCCATTGCCTTAATTATAAATGGCTCAGTAAGAAGTTCAGTCTGATTTTCACAAAAAACTGACAAACAAAAATCGAAAACTGCCATTTCAAGCCATCCAGTATTGACTCCCTCCTACTTCCCCAGCCACTACTCCACTACCAGATACTCTACTCAAGACCAAACATGCTGACAGTTTCCCACCTGCAGACTTTAAATCACAACACCCCACATACCTGAAATGCACCTGCTCTTCCTCCCTATGGTTGTCAAGCCTTTCCCCAGACTTCAAACCCCAATTTGAATGCCATTTCCTCAGGAAGGCTTTTCTTATCATGACAGACTCAAGCGAGTACTCTTTCTTCTGAATTCAGAGTAAATGGCACATATAAATGCCTCTTGTAAGTAACATAGCCACATGGCCTCTCCATGATCCCTACATCCTATGAAGCGCTCTAAACCCTGACTGCTTGTGAGGTTTTTTTCTTCTTTTTTTTTCTTACCCTGGCCGGTTTGGCTCAGCGGTTAGAGCATCGGCCCACGGACCAGAGTCCTGGGTTTGTTCCCGCTAAGGGCACGTACCTTGGTTGCAGTTTGTCCCCAGCGCCCGGTTGGGGTTGTGTGGATGGCATCCAGTTAATATGTCTCTCTAACATTGATGTTTCTCTCTGTGTCCCTCCTGCTCTATCTGAAGATGAATGCAAAAATGTCCTCGGGCCCTGGCCGGTTTGGCTCAGCAGTTAGAGCATCGCCTGCAGTCTGGAGAGACCTGGGAACCCCGCTAAGGGCACGTACCTCGGTTGCAGTTTGTCCCCAGCCCTGGTTGGTTGTGCGGGTGGCAGCCACTCAGTGTGTCCCTCTCACGTCGATGTTTCTCTCTCTCTCTCTGTTCCTCTCTCTCCCTCCCACTCTACCTGAACAAAAAAAAAAAG